TTAACATCATCAGTAGATAAAAAGAATGTGCTACTACTCTGGCACTATAGAATGCCTACAACCTACGGTAATTCCAAAGACGATTGTGTATTTTATCCATTCAGATACAATTACAAGTATACAATGTCAATATAAAGCATTTTTTACTAAAAGAACTATCAAAGAAAAAACACAACTATTTTATAAAATCAACAAAGGTGACAAGAGAAAGAACATATGCCAAACCCAACAAAAAATACACCAAAGTGAATGCAGCACCTCATAAGGTCAATTTAATCTCGCTGTTAAAATCCAGGAAAAAAAAGTAATAAATTCCAGAAGGTAAAAGCTAGAAGAAATTTCATTGATCTCCAAACTTCATTTATCTTCTCTACATGCTTCAGGTTTTTAACCTGAGATTTCCATAGCTTGCATGACCATTTCTGACACTGAAACACTTGAGGCATGGTAGTAATGGAAAGAGCTTGATAAAGCAGAGTACATGAAATAACAAAAAAGAACCTAACAGAAATGAAGAACTTAATTGAAGACATGCATAGGTATAGCTTCAAGGAAAACAACAATGGCCCGCTCAACATGTTAAAAGCGGCACTCAAATATACAAGTATAGTGATACAAGGTGTTAGCCATGGTTTCCCCAAATTTACCTTTCCTTCCCAACCAATCACATGCAAGTCAACCGAATCCCTGCATCTCAGGACTGCCTGACCACGCTTACCTCTATGAGTATCAAAACTGCAACTAAATCCGTTATTAAGTCCACAATTTCTATCTTCTCTTGTCATTTTCGCTCGAACCTGCTCTAAATGGTAATCATCAATAATCATTTCATGATGAGTAGGTTCATGTCTAACACGAACAGGTTCATGCCTTGAATTCTTTTCATAATACAATGACATCTCCTCCACATATATATTATCCTGACCTCGGTGCCTATAACTTGGTTCATCCTCATCCCAATGTAATGCTTTAAATTGCCCATTAATTCTTCTTCTTCTCTCATTACAAGTCTCATCATCAGTATAATCAGCTACATAATTGGCATCAGAACTATCTTTACATATAGAATTAAACCAATGCTTTTCAGAGTGCATATTCCTCCAATGACCATCACATCTTTCATCTGAGTTCCTTGAATGGTAAACATCATCCCTTGGTGAGTCTGTGCCACGCCATCCTCTACCGTTAAGAGTAGGAAATTGCCTGTGACCATGAGAAGACAAAGAGTGATGATCAGGACACCTCCAGTATTCATCATCATGTCTTGCATACCTCAATGAATCATCCATATCAGAGCAGGGACTATCAATATATCTCTCACTTCTTCTAGAAATTTTAATTCCTCTTCCACCATATGGAATATGGCTTTCATGCAGTTCTTCAAATGCTTCTCTTCTGCCATCATATGATGCATATCTTCCATATTTTTCATGAATTATTTCCTCTTTATATCTATCTTCATGCATTAGCTCATCATCTTCAACCCTCTTTCTAAGTAGCCATTCATCATCTCCCTTCCTTGGTCGCAAAGTGTGCCTTTCTTTGTTTTTGTAAAAGGAAGAATGTCCTCCAGGGGACCAGGCACATTCGTTATAAGGAAGAGAATTTATCTCCTCATCAGTGTATTCTCTTTCTTGAAAATACCGCTCTTTTTGCTTTATTTTTCTGTACTCAGCAGTAAATCGCTCAACAAAATGCTCCTTTTCATACCAGTGCCTTCTGAAATATGGATCCATTTCATCTCTGAAATGTTGATGACCTTTCCTATGGTAAACTTCAGTATAGTCATGTCTTCCCTGCTTTTCTGCTAACCTTCCATGATGATAAGCATTTTCTGTTCCAGTTTCTCTATAGTATGAAGAGTTTTCATAATAAGAGCCATTATAACGCACCCAGTCCTTCCTTTCTCGATGGCTTACTTTTACACAATCCCTACTGTATTGGTCCTCCCTATCAATTAAAGGAGCCACCTCATGATCTGGGTGAATCTTCAGTTCAGCCACACTGCGAAGTCTCATTCTACTACACAATGTTTGCTCATCTTCAATGGGGCTTTGGCTTCTGGAGGAATATTTCCAATTGCCAGATTCTGTTTTGCTGCTATTGCTTTCCAAATCTTTAGTGCGATCATAGTCAGATTTCACTGATCTCCGTAACTTGGCAAGTGATGATTTCCCTCTTTTGGACTTCTTAATTTCATTCAAGTCCATACCAAGAGCTGTCTTAGATGATTCAGAATGACTATCAAGATGGGATGGACTTAAACCAGGCTGATCTTGTTCACCAAGGGATGATTCTGGTTCCAATATACAAGGTTCTGCTTTGGAAGGACTCTTGTCAACCCCTTCCTTACTGTGTATAACTGTTCCCACAGATTCAGTTTCCTCAGATATATGTTCTTTTGCTTTCTTATCTACATCATGAATATGTTCAGTTCCTTGACAATCAAGATCCAGAAATAATGCAGTAGATGCGGCTTTTGGTTGAGAACACCTAATATTCATATCACAAAAAAATATATGCATCTTGTCAGCAGTTCGGTAAAAATCCCCAGAAACCAAAATTTATGTAGTCATTTTCTCAGATGCATTAAGCATATATTACTACCTGGAGGATATGATAAAAAGAAACTAAAAAAAATCTCATGATTACATTACATTTTAGAATTTGATAAAACAAACAATGCCTCATGTGAACAACTAACACACTACATGTAGAAGAATATTTGAACAACAAGACGGCTTCCAATGAAATTCAAGTCCTGTCCGACTTGAAAATTGAATGTTTAAGATGAAGGAACATCTGCTGTTTATTATGTCATGGCTACAAAAACTAGATAACATTTAAAACCAAGTCCATAACAAATCTCAAATCTCTTGTTGTCTAGGGTTAAGCATTTTTCCCTATAGGTAAGGATCTAAACATTGAAATATTAAAATCTAGCCCTGTACATTTAATGGTGCATTAACTTCTAAAAGAAACACAAACAAAAACATGCCTGAAGCAATGTTGTCAAAATCTTACGATTTAGGATACAATTCACGATTTGAATCATGAATCCCAAGGGTTTTGATTCGAATCTTATGTCCGAATCCTTTTCTACAAAAATCTTACAATTTTTGTTTGAGTGATTTGATTCACAAATCTTACAATTTCTACGATTCACTACTATTCAAATAAATTCAATTAAGAATTAGTTCTCTACTTTGTTATGTTTTTGTTTATATCTAGTTTTGTCAATGGAGATTTTTTTAAAGCCCTTACTAGAAAATTATTTCTTTATGTTATTTAAGACTAGAAATTGAATTCATTTTGCATCATATGTAGGTTAAAGAGCCATTATATGTGGATTTGTTTACTTTCAAGTCAAACTTGATTATATCATCTCAGGCTTCTATTGTATAAGAGGTAAATTCTATTATTTTAGGTACATATATGGTATATAAAGATTAAAAATAAGGGACAGTCACTTTCCTATATATATTTAACCTTTTAATATATCTATATTTAATTTTTGACAAGTTTATAAAAAATAGAAATAATCTTATAATTTACGATACGATTCACGATTCGATTCGATTCAACTTTCTCTACAATTTACGATATCATTACGATTTTCAAAACATTGACCTGAAGTGTGAAGCCCTAGCAACCTAAAGTGTTGCAACCAAGAGAGAGTGAAAACCAAATAAGTTATGCCTAGCTTCATTAGGGAACAGGTATCACCTTGTGCTTTGCACCTCTGGAATTTTCAAGCCCTTGCATTTGTTGTGCCTCTAACTTTTAAAGCACTGAGAGTTCCCCTATTAACTAAGGGGCAATCATGCAAGCAGAGAGCATAGTGCTGGTAATGGAATGATATATGAAGAAAAAAGAATTCTTGTGCATCATCTGAAGAATGTGAACTTGAACTAATAAAAAATAATGACAAGAATGTCTAATGTGACTTGTACCTTGTCAGAGAGCACTGTCCAGTATGTTTTGCAGAACGTGCATTAAACCTTCTACTATCTCCATCCACAGATTCTACAAACTGTTCATCTTCAATGTATCTGCTATTATCCCTACCAGAATCCACATTATCCGATAACTCTGGGACAGAATTATCAATATTTCCTGGTTTTTCCTTGTCTGACCCAAAGGAATCCTCCAAGGAATCCTGCACAGCAATCTGATCCAAACTATATGCATAAGGAACAAAAAAAGGAATGACAATTGAACTGGAAGATAGGTGGAAATTTCAAAGTGTCATCTTACCTCTATCACAACATCAGAATCACGATTTCTTGGGCGCCTTACATCAATGGAAGGTCGGCGTTCACCAATTCCACCTTCAACCTGAATTGCTCTGCCCTTTGGCTGAATGATAAATGCAAAAGTGTCAAAATGGGGAAACAACAAAGATTCAGTTCCTCCAAAAGGCTTTGGATTAAACAGATAATGAAATAGATAGAGCAAAGGAAAATTGATATTCATCATGGTCCATACCATTTCCAACAGCCTCACTGCCCCATCGGTATTCTTCAATGGCAAAGAAATCCCTTCACCATCTAAAATTTGAGAGCTTTCCCCAGCCACAACTTCTGGACGATTCTCAGTCTCGTCTTGATGCGACTATCAAAATAAATTAGAAAGTTTTTAGAAATTGTAAACATGATAGAATGATATACAGATAGCTAATGTCAAAATATCTCCATCAGTATGTGAATATCCTACCCGATTAGGCCTAGTCAGAATGGCAGCTTTCTGACGGAATTGTTCCTGATAAAAAATCAACACAAGTTTTATATCTTCCATTAGATTAAATTAAAATAAAATCAAAGTTATTTCAAGCCAGTATTCCAACACTAGGGCATACAGAGCACATGAATTTACAAAAGAAAAAGGGCCAGAATCTAGATATAATTTAAGTTGGTTTGGGGCATAAATTTCCAATAATGAGACCATTATAATGTTGGATTCGTATCTGCTAGCATATGCACCATGTCTCCATACTAGATAAAATCTGAAGTCTAAAATAATCTGATTTGACAACATAAAAGAATGGCAACATCAAGTACCAGGCGATTGCAATAATCTTTCCAATTTTCCTCATCCAGGCCAAAGTTAAAGAAATCTGTTATATCTACTCCAGGCTGCCTCCAGGGTTTCCTTTCGAACATTTCAATGTTTACATCTAATATTGTCCTGAGAAAACATTGATTATGATTTGGACATTAAGATCATTGAAACACAGTAACAATTTAAATAGGAATTGAAATAATGTTAGAATAGAAAACAAAGAATGAAGTTAAACATATAAACTGTCCTGCCAATAAGCTGTAAATGATAGCAACTGTAAGAGTAATATGAAATTCATGAACTTAGAAAGAGATAGAAGCATAACTTACCTATACCAGGGTAGAGAGAAATCACGTCCTCTTGAAGTTACTGATGGAACAGCTGTAATACATGAAGTGATTGGGCCTGAGCCTGAACCCATATGCTGATTACTTGCATCTAAATCACCTCTAGACAACAATGGAGAAGACAAGGAAACCGTTCCCCCATAACCACTAGCTTTTGAATTCAATGGCGCTGCTACATGAGATCTTACATACTGAATAACAGCATCTTAATTAATAACCACTCAATTAATGAAAATTACAAATAACATTTACAACCAAGAAATTGTTTTAAATATAAAAGATGGGAGGAAATACATTCCAGTAACAGAAACAAATATTATATATGCATAATGACAGTGAAATAAGAAAAATGTAATAATAAGAACTACAATATTTTTTGTTCACATTAACAGGATGAAATCCAGCCAGCAAGATTAATGATTGGAGTTAGCAAATATTCAACCAGATTGAATATGAAAAAGATATAGAGGAATCAAACTTCTATATAAGATTTTAGCAAAGTAATTAGTTATTACATTATGTTGGATTTCATTTGCATACCAGGAACAGAAATTGAAATAACCATGTATCAGGATTGCATGTAAATCAGTTTAAGTTGATAGGCCCATGACCGGAAGTGCAACTGAATTTCTTCATGGAGAAATAGCTACCCAAGGAATAAAGAAGATGAAGGGGAAATGAACAATTCAAATGTTGCCTTTATATTCATGAACAGTGCATCCATGTTAACTGTGAGGATACTAACTTCCTGGGTAGTTTCAAATATTTTTAGCAAGGTTGCATTCATTGACCGTAAATTAAACCTTTTCCATACGTTTTAATGCAACCAATTTACAACATGTACTATGGCATCAACATCTTCATCATCCAAAGAATGAATGGAGGAGAACAATGAAGTACCTTGTATTGAGAATACTGCGAAAGATAGCCACCCTTCATCGCATTGGCTCTTTCAGCACCAGAAGAGGAGAGCACCTGCTCCACTCCATCGGTTGACAGTTGCACCTGATCAACCCACTTCCGGTCCTTACTTGAGCGGTTTGCCTCCGTAACAATCACCAGATCATCATCCTCGTCGTCACTAGCCTCCGCCATTCTTCGGTTCCCCATATTTACACTCCTAATAGTTGGATACGTGCGGCAGTCCTCCTCATTTAAAACTATATGCAAATCATCCTCGCTATCACTTCCATTGTCGAGAGTTAACTCCTTTCCGCCATTGGCTTCCAGAAATGAGGTGTTTAAAATTTTAGCACTGTGATTTCCATTCTCCTGTTTTGCATCAGTGTTGTCGCAGTGGAGAACCAACTCCTCCCTGACGGAATCAACTTTCTTCGAACTCGAATCAAAGGTATGACCCTCTCTAACACCATCACCGTCGTCCTCACTTTCCTTTTCTATGTACAAGTGGTTAAAACTAGAGTTTGTTTTCATGGCAGCACTTACTTGAACCTCTACATCTGCGTAGAGGTCGCCAAAATCATCGTCCATCTCCCCCATCTTCAACAACCCCAAAATAAGTTTGGGGTATAGATTGCTTATACTAACAATATCGCATCAGAAACCCTAATCCATCTCGAAAAGAGCTCAAGCCTCATACCTGGATAGGGATTGAACCGAAAGGAAGAAGTCAAGAAAAGAAGATTTGGGGTTTTAGGGTTTTACCGAGTGTGGCTTTGGCTGAACCACACCCCAGATAAAGGCTTAAACCCTAACCCTAAAGGACTACCCAATTCATTGTTTCCTTCTCTTTTATTTGAATATTTCTGTCTGGCTGCTCCACTTCGCACAGACGGGAGAGCGAAAAAAAAAAATACTTTCCCTCCATATCACTTGGTAATATTAACACCGCTTCCGTCACGAGGTCAAAGTTTCTTCGCCTAAAATAATTAAACTATCCCCATTTTTTAATAAATTAAAAATAGAAAACTTTTAAATTGGTCAAAATCAGATAGAGTTTCGACTTACCACATCAAATCTCGTTAGTTTGAGTAATACCAAAAGAATTCATGCCACCTTAGGCCACAAGCCACATCTCCCTCCCTTTTTGATATCACCCAAGTAGGGAGGGGGAGGCTTAAGAATCCTTCCTTTGACTTTGACATGTACAGTACAGTCTCCCCGCCCTGATTTCTTCCACATCTTTTCTTTGACTTTGACCTCCTCCTTTAGAAAGTAACCTTGGGAACCACCCCTCACCTCTCCACCATTTTCCCTAATGGCCTACACATCCTTGTATGTGCCTATATAATGCTTCCTCTAAAAATTTCTTCCACTCACTATTTTTGTTTTTTCTTCCTTCTTTCTGATTTACATTTTTTTGTAATAATTTATTTATTATTATCATTCTTTTTCCATACTGAACGACAACATAGCAAAGCTGGAATGGCTCTCCAAGTCTGTAGATGACTCCTACACCAATTTTCTTATGAACGAGCGAGCCCATTGGAACCACAAAGTACCAACCTGACGCTTCAATTTGTATAACTTACAAACACAACATTTCAAAGAAGATCCCAGCTTCCATGGTGTTGATATAGGGGCAATACCCTGAAAAAATTAATCCACACACAACTAATTGAGAAATAAACACATTTAGTAAAAGTCTCAAGAGCATAACAATCTAATTTATATTCCATAAAAAAAAAAAAAAACTAGCAAAGTCAAAGTGAGCTCAAGTGTTCAACATCTCCATGCAACATTCCTTCCTTTAAAAACTACCCTTCAATTTGAAGCATTGTTGTAACATAATTCCTTATCCTACAATATTATAAAATCGTAAATTTTATTTAGGTATTACTAATTAAATTTAATATACTTAAAGAGAGGTGATATAAAAATAGCATAGAAAACGCATAAATTTTGATCTACCTATCTATATCTATATCTTCAAAAAAAGTGCAACATCTCAAATGAGCATTGGAAACAATTCAAGTTAATTAGCCATGCATTTTATAAAATATATAAATTTCTTAAATAATTATACTAAAATACTTAAATACCGTGTATTTTAGCCCATAACCAATATTGTACACAAAATAATGCCTCCAATGTATCTGGATGAAGCCTGCCACGGTGTGAGCTAACAAATCTTCGACTAGTACTAAAAGAAGATTTTGAAACCACAATGGATATAGGAATAACCAAAACATCTCTATCAATCAATTGCAAAATAGGATACCAAATCATCTTCCACCACTCCAATATGTTAAAATTAACCATTATAGGTATAACAAATTCTTCCAAATAAAGATCTAACTCGGACTTGACATATGTAACATTACTCTTCGAAGCCACATACAAGTCATGATCACACATGTGATCCAGCTGATCAAGACTATAAATCATTGACTATGAAATTGTAGCCATGAAGATTTGAACTCATAGCTTCCACCATTTGATCTTGATTGATACTGAGTAATCAAGTCAATACAAATTTCTTGGACCATTCTAATTTCATCAAAATATGAAACTTGTCCATAGATAAATTTATAGTAATACTCCAACAATGTCAACTTGTATCTAGGATCTAAGACAATAGTTATAACCATAATACCATGAATCCCACACCAATACTTGTCAAACTTGGATATCATTTTTTATGTCATTGATTATATGACATCATGCCCACAACCAAGCCACCGCCTCAATGCTAACCTAATCTCATAAATCTTAAGGAAATAAAGATTAGTTGTAGGAAACTTGGTCCTATAGAACAATTCAATCACATTATAAAACAATTTCAACCTCACAAGCTTCTTTTGCCATTTCCCGATCCTTCTTAAGTGGCACACATTTATATAATGGCTTCTGTTGCTTTAAACGAGAAAAAAACATCCTTATGGCTTATAACAACATGAAACATCAAATATGTGAAATTCCACATAGTCTTACAATCAAGAATCAACTTCTTTGTGAGTGTGATTTTCAATTAACGAGCATTGAATTTTTCTTTTCTTTTTGGTGTTGCTCACTAAAAAGCATCACTATCACAAATCCATTCAATACCCACACCAATCACCTCCAAACCATCTTCCACAACCAATTTTAAAATGCGAGCACAACACCGCATATGCAATAATTTCCTATCCAACCACAATGAATCACGAGAAAACTTTTCTAATAAGATATTCACCATTGCATTATTAGTAGAACAATTATTTAATGTTATAGTGGACAATTTTCTATTAATGTTCCAATCCATCAAAGTATCAAAAAGATTCTTACAAAGTATCTTAGAAATATGTGGATAAGGCACATAAAGAAAACTAAATGAAACATTTTAAATAATCATAAATTCATAGAGAAACTAACTTAAAACAAAATAAATTATTAGTGATAATTTTTTGAAAGAAAATAAAAAAAATACAGTAACAATGTAAATAATATTTTAATAAAAATATTTAATTCATAACAGAAGTTACCTTATGGACGGACTTTGTGACACCCAAGAACTATCAATAAAATGTGTCGTGATAGCCATGAATCCCCATTTTTTATTGTTGAAAGTCCACATATCGATTATTTTGGCAATTTTACCTATATTTTTTTCCAATAATTTCATGATTTTAGATTTCTGATAATCATAAATGTCGAAGATATCCTTCTTGATTGTATTCCAGAACACCACCTTAAACAATAGTTGTAAAGAATTAGTGAATCTCCGAAACTCATGATGTTCTACCGTTGACAATGGGTACTCATGCAAGATGACCATTTTGGCAAGCTCCCTTCTTGAAGTGTTTTGATCAAAAGTATAGGTTTCTAGTGCAACTTTCTCGTTATTAGTATTCTAAGATCTTAAAAATGATTGCTTTATACTCACTTGATTCTTGTATGGACAACATTTTAAGTGGTCATGCAAATGTGTGGTTCCATTTTTTGTTTCTCCTCCAAGCTTTTTACTACAATAGATGCACATTATTTTCCATTTATCTTCAACCGTTTGCCTCTTGAAATGTTTTCATACTGTTAATTCCAATGCCCGTGTATGCCTTGATTCCTCCATGATTGGACTTGAACAAGTTGGTCCAATTGGATTTGAATCAATTAGTGTTGGTGACTCGTTCAGTGGAGGATGCTTTAGATCTTGACTTTGGCTTTCTTGCGTAGAACTCATCTTTACCTAAAAGAATTAAAAAGAATATATAATACAATAGATTCAAGCAACAACCAAATTGCAATCATGATTGCAATGGATTATTTAGCCAAAAATCATGATTGGTTTGGTTCTGGAAGTAGAATAATCATAACAACTAGAAATCAAGATGTTCTAAAGAATGAAGTGAAAAAGTACTAAGCTGAAGAATGAATCATGATGAATCAAATCGGCTTTTTAGTTTCCATGTTTTTAATAGAGAACATTCCATAAGTGACTATGTGGAGCTCACAAACAGAGCATTGGAACATGTAAAAGGTCTTCCCTTAGCTCTTAAAGTTTTGGGTTCTACTTTATGCAATAAAGATACAAAGCATTGGGGAAATACTTCAAAGAAATTATAAGTATATTCTAATCCTTATAAAAATAAGATACTTAAAATAAGTTTTGTTTCATTAGAAGACAATGGAAATGAAATATTTCTCCATATTACGTGCTTCTTTACTGGATGGAATAAAGAGCATGTTATCAATATATTAAGGGTTGTGATTGTTTCCAGGATATGGAATTGATATTCTTACTGGCCAGTCTCTAATATCAGTTGATAAATATAGTAACTTGGAGATGCATGATCTACTTTGAGACATGGGAAAGAAAATTGTGAAAGAGAAATCTCTTATAAATCCTAGACAACATAGTAGATTGTGGTCTCGGGAGGATGTATATGATGTATTAAGAAATAATGAGGTAATTACAATTGAGCTCAATTAGTATTTTGTCTTAAAAAAAGAATACCAAAGCTAGCATGGCATGATTTAATTGTTTCATTATAAATATGAAAACTATCTGACATATTATTATTTAACTTGTGACATATGGTATGAATAAATTAAATATGATAGAATTTTTAGATACCAACAACTCAAGTCTTAAACCGAGTGAGTGGGGGCAGTATGTGTCAAAACTCAAAAGTGTCAACTGTCAACATATCTTCCAGATTTCAAAACAATAACGAAAAAGACAAAAGATTATAGAGTTGTGGAGGTTTTTACTTTTTTATAAAGACAAAACGATGAGGAGTTGCAACCACCCAGTTTTCAAAACAACAAAAAATGCTATAAAAAAATAAAACCAAAACTAAAAACAGTTGTTGTAGACACATAAGGACAATGGCAATAGATAGATTCAGGTTCGGTGATGTTGAATAAAAAAAGTATTTTAATGGAAAAAGAATAGAATAATATTAAAAAAAGGAAAAAATGAAAGAGAGATTAAAATCAAAAGCCCATGTTTGTTCCTTCAGTCCTCCCTTCTTTTAGTTCAATCTAACGTATTTCTTCAATTCACTGTTGATATGGTTGTGATTTTGTACATAATAGTATGTTGTACACACAATCCAGTCTAGCGCCGTGTAGAAGAAAAAGTAAACCTAAACTGACTCGTCTAAGGTTGGGGTCAGTGAGAGAAACTGAAACATAATATGTAGGGTAAACCTAAAAGTATTATTTATAAGGGTAAGTTTGTAATTTGTTAACGAGGATCCTTGCGGAGCGGGGAGTGCTATCCCCATCTCCGCTATGTCTCCGCCAATAGGGATGAAAATTTCCTCATCCTTGTCCTAACGGGGAAAAATCGTCCCCATCCTCACCCCATTCGAAGCGGATCCCCATGGGGATCGGGGAAATGGGGAAAATTGCCATCCCTAGTCGAGTGTGGTGAGAGTGCGGACATGGAATCCATTG